GGCCGTCCACCCACCCTCTGCATCATCATCATCACAGAATCTGCGAGTTGTAAGGACTCCGCAAAGGCCACCTAGTCTAGCCCCCTTCTTCCAGGAAGAGCAGCAATCCAAGCACCCCCGGCAGTGGAATCTCCTTCCCTGCTATTTGAACCCAGGGCCCCACGGGTCCCGGTCTCCCAGGCCACAGGAAGGAAGCCTATGATCTCTTCCTTCCAGACATGTAGACCTGGCTCCCTTGTCCCCTTCTCTTCTGAAGGCGGAATAGACCCAGTTTCCCCGGCTGACAGACAGGCCTTTGGTCCTGGGTTCTCCAGCTCACAGAGGAGGGGATTAAGGGGAAGACAGCGCCCCTCCACTGCTGGAAGCCCCCCCAAAAGTCACCCCGAAGGAAGCACCCACCTTGGCCCATGGCGGTGTCCCTAGGCCTCCTTCCTTCCCAATGAGTCACTGTCTGGGGGGGGGGGCTCTCCCCTCACCCCACCCCTCCCTTATCTGCCCCCCGCAGCAGCTGCACCAAAGGAACCTCCCTCCCCCCCCCCCCACCCGCTGCCTTATCAGGGCATAAGAGGTGCGCCCTCCCTCCCTCTTGAGAGAATAACAATACTACTCACTGGGTTTGGCGAAGGTTTTTCGGACTGTATGGTCATGTTCTAGAATCATAGAATCCTAGAATCAAAGAGTTGGAAGAGACCTCCTGGGCCATCCAGTCCAACCCCATTCTGCCAAGAAGCAGGAATATTGCATTCAAATCACCCCCTGACAGATGGCCATCCAGCCTCTGTTTAAAAGCTTCCAAAGAAGGAGCCTCCACCACACTCTGGGGCAGAGAGTTCCACTGCTGAACGGCTCTCACAGTCAGGAAGTTCTTCCTGATGTTCAGATGGAATCTCCTCTCTTGTAGTTTGAAGCCATTGTTCCGCGTCCTAGTCTCCAGGAAGCAGAAAACAAGCTTGCTCCCTCCTCCCTGTGGCTTCCTCTCACATATTTATACATGGCTATCATATCTCCTCTCAGCCTTCTCTTCTTCAGGCTAAACATGCCCAGCTCCTTGAGCCGCTCCTCATAGGGCTTGTTCTCCAGACCCTTGATCATTTGAGTCGCCCTCCTCTGGACACATTCCAGCTTGTCAATATCTCTCTTGAATTGTGGTGCCCAGAATTGGACACAATATTCCAGGTGAGGTCTAACTATTCAAGCTAAACATGCCCAGCTCTTTAAGCCGCTCCTCATAGGGCTTGTTCTCCAGACCCTTGACACATTCCAGCTTGTCAATATCTCTCTTGAATTGTGGTGCCCAGAATTGGACACAATATTCCATGTGTGGTCTAACCAAAGCAGAATAGAGCATGGGGAGCATGACTTCCCTGGATCTAGACACTAGGCTCCTCTTGATGCAGGCCAAAATCCCATTGGCTTTTTTTGCCGCCACATCACATTGTTGGCTCATGTTTAACTTGTTTTCCACGAGGACTCCAAGATCTTTTTCACACGTACTTCTCTCGCAAAAAGATCTTGGAGTCCTCGTGGACAACAAGTTAAACATGAGCCAACAATGTGATGTGGTGGCAAAAAAAGCCAATGGGATTTTGGCCTGCATCAAGAGGAGCATTCTCTCCTGATGTTTTGCCTGCATCTATGGCAAGCATCCTCAGAAGTAGTGAAGTCACACACAACCATCAAGGCAGGCAAAAGAGAAATATTGACAAGCTGGAATGTGTCCAGAGGAGGGTGACTCAAAGGATCAAGGATCTGGAGAACAAGCCCTGTGAGGAGCGGCTTAAAGAGCTGGGCATGTTCATCCTGAGGATGTGGAGGAGGTCCTTGGGGCTGTGAGGATAACCACGTCGGCTCTCGACCCTTGCCCATCTTGGCTAATTAAATCGGCCAGAGGTGGTTTGATCGATTGGTTTGTATTGATCATTAATGCATCGTTGGAGCAAGGGCTTAGCAATATGTCCTCAAATGCACTTTAATATTGATTTAGGACAATTTCAACAGAAAGAAACCATGAAAATGAACAAAATCTGGCTACCAGTATTAAAAAACTCTAAAATTACAACAGCAGAGAGGAAACAGCCAGGCACATCTTAACACCTCTTAACAAAAGATTTTCCCAGGCTCAGCCAGGCCTTCAAATGCTAATGAAGGTGGTCAGTTGAAACATTCACCCCTAGCTCCAGCAAAGAAGAGCTTTTTGCCCCACCCAAGCCATTCCACAGATACTGAACCCTTTTTCCTAGTTCCAACAGACCTCACTACCTCTGAGGATGCTTGCCATAGATGCAGGCGAAACGTCAGGAGAAATGCCTCTAGAACATGGCCCTATAGCCCGAAAAAAACTAACAAGAAGCTAGTGATTCCAGCCATGAAAGCCTTCGACAATACATTGATTTAGGATTGTCTGCGTGCCCTCACCTTTCTTTGAAAACCCTATCCTAGCTTACCTACCTTGTTCATGCCCAGCATTTTAAATTTTAATTATTACATTTGGCCCGGCCATTGGTTTTCAAATGCTGTATGTTATTGTTATTGATATTGCTTATTGCTTATTGTATATTTTTGTTTTTGAGTTTTTATTTTATTTTATTTTAACTGTTTTGTATTGATTATTTGTTATGGGCTTTGTTTATTGATGTGTTGTGGGCTCGGCCTCATGTAAGCCGCACCGAGTCCCTTGGGGAGATGGTAGCGGGGTACAAATAAAGTATTATTATTATTATTATTATTATTATTATTATTATTATTATGTTTAGCCTGCAGAAGAGAAGGCGGAGAGGAGACAGGATGAGGGTCATGGATCAAGATGTGAGGGGAATATGTCATAGGGAGGAGGGAGCAAGCTTCCTTTCTGCTTCCCTGGAGACTAGGACGCAATGGAGCAATGGCTTCAAACTACAAGAGAGGAGATTCCATCTGAACATGAGGAAGAACTTCCTGACTGTGAGAGCCGTTCAGCAGTGGAACTCTCTGCCCCGGAGTGTGGTGGAGGCTCCTTCTTTGGAAGCTTTGAAACAGAGGCTGGATGGCCATCTGTCAGGGGTGATTTGAATGCAATATTCCTGCTTCTTGGCAGAACAGGGTTGGACTGGATGATGGCCCAGGAGGTCTCTCCCAACTCTTCTAGGATTCTATGATTCTACATCAGGAGAGAATGCTTCTAGAAGATGGTCATGTTGTTGTTTATTTCTTCAGTCGCTTCCGACTCTTCGTGACCTCATGGACCATCCTATGCCAGAGCTCCCTGTCAGCCGTGGCCACCCCCAGGGTATCCAAGATCAAGCCAGTCCCTTCAAGGATGCCATCCATCCATCTTGCCCTTGGTCGGCCCCTCTTCCTTTTGCCTTCCACTTTCCCCAGCATCATTGTCTTCTCTAGGCTTTGCTGTCTCCTCATGATGTGGCCAAAGGACTTCAACTTTGTCTCTAGTGTGCTTCCCTCCAGTGAGCAGTCGGGCTTTCTTTCCTGGAGGATGGACTGGCTGGATCTTCTCGTGGTCCAAGGCACTCTCAGAACTTTCCTCCAGCACCACAGTTCAAAAGCATCTATCTTCCTTCGCTCAGCCTTCCTTATGGGCCAACTCTCACATCCATAGGTTGTTGTTGTTGTTGTTGTTCATTCATTCAGTCATTTCCAACTCTTCATGACCTCCTGGACCAGCCCACGCCAGAGCTCCCTGTTGGCCATCGCCACCCCCAGCTCCTTCAAGGGCAATCCAGTCCCTTCAAGGGTGCCACCCACCCACCTTGCCCTTGGTCGGCCCCTCTTCCTTTTTCCTTCCATTTCCCCCAGCATCATTGTCTTCTCTAAGCTTTCCTGTCTTCTCATGATGTGGCCAAAATACTTCATCTTTGCGTCTCATCTCCTTCCCTCCAATGAGCAATTGGGAAATATAGACTGGTTGGATCTTCTGGCGGTCCAAGGCTCTCTCAGAACTTTCCTCCAGCACTGCAGTTCAAGAGCATCTCTCTTCCTTCGCTCAGTCTTCCTTATGGTCCAGCTCTCACATCCGTAGGTGACTACGGGGGATATCATTGCTTTAATTATGCGGATCTTTGTTGCCAGTGTGATGTCTCTACTCTTCACTTTTTGATCGAAATTGGACATTGCTCTCCTCCCAAGAAGGAAATGTCTTCTGATTTCCTGACCTCACTCTTCGTCTGCACTCATCTTTGCACCTAGAAATACAAAGTTCCATTATCCAGGCAGAGGCCACAAGGAGGCGCTAGAGAGAGGATAGTCCATTTTAAGGGGTGGAGGGTGGATTGAAGGAGGAAAACCATTTCCCCCCATTTTCCTGTTATTCCCCTCACCCATGTCCCTGTATCCTTGTTTATAATATAGGAACTGGGGAGGAGGAATAACCAGCCAAAATGAGAGGCATGGTTTTCCTCTTTCACCCCCCCCCCACCTTAAAATGGACTAGCCTTCTCTCTCTAGCACCCCCTAGTGGCTTCCACCCATATAATGGAAAGGTACTAGTAGGGGTCGTTCGATGTAAGATTCACAATGAGTAGTGAAAGAAGTCCTATACAACTCCGGCCCAGCTTACTTGTCTGAACGTATCTCCCTCTATGTTCCGCCTTGTAGTCTAAGATCTGCCGGGGAGGCCCTGCTCTTGGTCCCACCAGCTTTGCAAACGCGACTGGTGGGGACGAGGGACAGGGCCTTCTCGGTGGTGACCCCCTGCCTGTGGAATTTGCTCCCCAGCAAAATTAGATCGGCGTCCTCCCTCCTTTCTTTCAGAAGAAAACTGAAAGCTTAATTGTGGAACCAGGCTTTTGGCTAAAGGATATAACGGCACCTGAAGAGTGAATTGGACCAGACGGTTGTGATAATGCAAATGCCTTTATGATTGGATAACTAATGTTGTTTTAATGTATTATATTGTATGATTTTATTTTATAATTGTAATTATTGCGGCAACAAATCATTGCCATTGTGAGCCGCTCTGAGTCCCCTTGCGGGGATGAGAAAAGCGCGGCAGAAATGCTTTAAATAAATAAACAAACAAATAAATAAAATAAGTCATAGGTGGTGGGTTCACAGGTGAGAGGACGGAGGGAAAGGGTTTGTTAAGGATGTTGCAATGCACCTGTTTTGCTAATTAATGTCATTTTGGGGTTGTTGTAGGTTTTTTTGGGCTATATGGCCATGGTCTAGAGGCATTCTCTCCTGACGTTTCGCCTGCATCTATGGCAAGCATCCTCAGAGGTAGTGAGGTGAGAACGTCAGGAGAGAATGCTTCTAGACCATGGCCATATAGCCATGTGATTCCGGCCATGAAAGCCTTCGACAATACAATGCCATTTTTGGCTTTACTTGTCAATTGTACACAATAAAATGAAAAAAAATGAACATACAAAAAAAGCATCTCTGACTTGGCTCTCAAGATTCGATCGCATGCTGAACATGAGTCAATAGTGTGACGTGGCAGCTCAAAAGGCCAATGCAATGGTATCTGGGGATGGACTTTGTTTTTTACTGTCCCTGTGAAATGTGTTTTATTGGTCTTTTATTATGATTTGGTTATGATTGAATGTTTATATAGTTTATCTTTATGTTTTTAGTTTATGGTGTACTAGCTGTACCCACCACGTGTGGCTGTGGCCAACCTTCCATCCCTCTTCCTTCCTTCCTTCCTCCCTTCCTTCCTTCCTTCCTTCCTTCCTTCCTTCCTTCCTTCCTTCCTTCCTTCCTTCCTTTTCCTCTTCCCTTCCTTCCCACCTTTTCTTTCCCTTTTGTTTTCTCTCCTTTCTTCCTTCTCTACCTATTCTTGAACTGCAACTCCCAGCAGTCCTCCTGATCAATCTACTTACCTACCTACCTACCTATCTCTGTCTAATCTATCTATCTGGAGGATTGCTGGGAGTTGCAGTCTAGGAATAGGAATTTGGAAATCTGCAGGGATTGGGATGCTCTCAAAGGAATCCAAGGAGAAGAAAGCTTGCATCTTGGAAGCAGTGCATTTGAATCCTCCTCCTCTCCTAAAGGGCCTGGCCTAGGGGATGCTGGGACCTGTAGTCCAGAAGAATGTGTGGATATGCTATTGTGTGTTTTGTTTGCCATGGGGAATCATTTTTGTGCATGTGCTGTAGCATCTTTTGGGGTTTTTTTTTGTTACTTTTAAAGTCTTTTCTGCTGTGTTTTTCCAGTGTTTTTATGAGTGATGGTCACTCGTTGGTCTGATAGGTGTTATATTGTCCACATTTCATGTCAATTCGTCCAGTGGTTCTTGAGTTATGTCAATCCCACAAACCAACATTACATTTTTATTTATATAGACTAGCCGTCCCCTGCCATGCATTGCTGAAGCCCAGTCTGTGTATGTGTTTTGTGTGTGTATGTATGTGTCCATGTGTATATGTGTGGTTTTGTGCATGTGTTGTAATGTATTTTTTTTTACCTTTTGGGGCCTTTTAAGTCCCTTCCACTGTGTTTTTCTGAATGATGGTCACTCATTGGCCTGAGAGGTGTTATGTGTTCAAATTTGGTGTCAATTTGTCCAGTAGTTTTTGAGTTATGTTAATCCCACAAACTATCATTACATTTTTATTTATATAGATTTTAGTGGCATTGCATGGTTTCCTTTTAGGTTGTAAGTCGCCCCGAGTCCCCATGGGGAGATGTGGTGGGGCACATACAAATAAAGACTTGTTGATTGATTGGACCGGGTGACCTTTGGGGGTCCCTTCCAACTCTATCATTCCCTCCTTGCACTAAAAGCCAGCCTCCCAGTCCCCCCATTTCTCTGCATTCGTCTCTCTCCCCACCCCAGTGTAGAAGGAGCGTCAGTCCCTTTGGAGAGGCACATCTCTTTGCTGATTCCACTTTATGGGTGAATGAATGAGGACGGGATGCAGAAGGTGGTGGGGTTTGCAGAGGCCTTTATTAAAAGCAGTGCCACTCTTTTTCCTCCTCTGTCTTCTCTTTGTGGGCCCCTCAGGGTCCCCTGCGGACCCTCCACCCGGTGGACGGAGCAGAGGCCACCTGGACACACTTGCGGCCCTTGATGGGGGCAAACTGGCTCCCGGTGAGGCTCACGTGCACCTGCCGTGGCCCGGCCTTGAAGGGCGTCAGGTGGAAGGTCACGCTGGTCTCCGCCCGAGGCGCCAAGCAGCCCAGCCTGGGGAGAGAGGAGAAGAAGGGACAAGGGGGTGTCAGTCACAGAGCAGACATTGATGGGCCTCCCCTCCCCTGACCGGCCCCGTCACTCACTCGATCTGCATCTGCCCCTTGAGCAGCCCACTCCCTTCCACCGTCAGCAGGCAGCGGCCCACCACCTCGGACAGCGGGTTGGAGAAGACCACTTGCAGCGGGAAGGACTTGTGCAGCACAGCCGGGGACAGCGCCTGCAAAAGGGGGGGGGGCGAGAGAAAGAGAGAAGGGGTCAAGCCCCAATGGCCCACAATCAGTGACACAGTGCTGCACTTTCATAGAATCATAGAATCATAGAATCAAAGAGCTGGAAGAGACCTCATGGGCCATCCAGTCCAACCCCAT